CCCCCCAAAAAAAAAACAAAAACAAAACAAAAGAAAATCTGCACTATCAGTGGTGTATAAGTGATACAGATGGTGGTGATGTGCAGCAATGTCAGAACAAAAGCCGAGAAGTTAACAGCAAAGCGGTGAACGTGGATCTGAGCTTTCATGATACGTGTTTTATGAGGATGGATATGAGCACTTCTTGTGCTTTTCGGCCACTTTTAACTTTTTTTCTTTTTTAGAAGAAAATTCCCCAAAGCACCTTCAACTTTGTTGACAATCAACCAGAAAAATGGAAATGAAAATAATGACTTTTCTTTTGCTGTCGGGAGCCAGACAGTTGCCTTATTTAGTACAACAGGGGAGAAAAAAAGAGCTAATTTAGCTGATTTTGAATATGTACTCTTTTACTCTCTCAATCACTGGCACTTGCTTTTGTAGAGCTAATTAAATCTTTCCAAGTACAATCATAAGATTCTTGACACAATTATTGACCCCCTTTGGTGAAACGCAGTGTTTCAAAGTTTTATTTGAAAAGATGATCTCATTCAATGACGTCTTCCCGCTGCAAACAAAGGTGACCGTAAATCTGTGAAATCATTCGATTTAGCAGAAGTACACCACAAGCGTTCTTTTTTCCCCCTTTTTTTTAATGGAGGCTTACTTAGATTAACTCCACCTCTCCCTTCATTGTCCAGCACTCGTCATAAAGACATTTGCACTTAAAGCTGTCACCGTGATAGGCCATGTACCTCTCTTCAAAGACAGCTGTGACAGGGCTGTCCTGACCTCATCACTCTGTTCCGACAACTGACGTGACCATTTAAACTGTGTCACACACACACGCACACAAACGCACGCACACACAAACACACACCGACAAACTGACAGGTGCTCCCCCGAGCCTGAGCCCTGCCAGTGATGCATTCTGCATCGCTTTGCTGGGGACCACGACTGGAGGTCAAGAGCTGTCGGACACAGTGATTGCTAGCTATGCGTGCACACACATGCACAGTCACATGTATAGTAACATCATTTAAGAGTAGACAGGCAACTGCTTTTTTTAAAAATTGTTTTTAAGGTGTCTTTGCAGTATTGAGCTTGACAGCATTAATTCAGTGAATCCGCTTTAAATTCGTATTTGCCGTTTCTCCTGTTGTACTGATGATACTGAGATTCCAGGCAGTCCATTGGCACATGTTAATGCAATGGGATTTTTTTCCTTCTCTTTTCACTCAACCCCAACTCCAAACAGCAGATGGTTACTCATCCACGAGTCATTTTGTGCTGGAAGCCTCTTCCTGTTAAAAGGGAGTTC